AGGTTGGTTTTCTCATTTCTCTATCCCGAAGCAAGAGAATTTTTTAAAGGCACTGCAGGCGATTTGAACGTCGTCGCTTTTTATGCAAGGTAGCTATTATTATGAACTGGATGATCTGATAACTGCCGACCGGTTAAGTAAGCAAGTGTGTAATCAACCAATTCAAGAGAAGGAAAGTTTGTAACCGTTTGGGTGTCGGTCTATTTACACTTTTACGATGGACCATTTCTGAGGCCCTTCTTTTCATGACGTTAATGCTGCAGCATTAAGTACTTTTTCCATTATGCCATCAGCCAATAGTTTTATTTTAGAGACAGCAGCAATGTGACTAACAGTGTTAGCATCCTGTTTCTTTTTTACAATGTATACTCGTTTATCAACTTTGAAGGAAGAAATGTGATTAACCTTGATTGAAACTGGAACTTGGGACCTCTGGATTCTGAATTCGACGATTCACTAACTGAGCACCCTCGATCATAATAAGAAGAACGTAATTAGACGATTCTGACTTTCTGATGAAAGTTAGTGAATGTCATTAAATTGTACACTATTAGCTAGAGCGTTGCCTAAAGCATTAAGTTTACATGTTTTCTTAAGCTGCTTAAGTCTTTAACAGTCAAAAGCATATGCAGATATGACGATTAATGCACTATGAACTTTGACGATAAGCATCTATTTTCTTTCTCGTGGAGTACTTATATTCGAATATATGAACGAGCTTTCGCCAGTATCTCTTGCCGAATTTTCGGATAATCTGGATACACTCGGAGAATAACGTGGCAGATATCGATCGCGTCTACGTATCGGTTGCATTTCAGGTAGTTGTACGCAAGTTTATAGCCTAAAAAGTTAACGTTGGATAAGCAAAAGTAAGAAAATTACTACCATATGTAAGATTTCGTTGCTTGCTCAGTTTCCAGGCATTTTCGTAGTTGGAGACAGCTTCTGGCCAATTCAACTCCTTTTCAGCAATGAGGCCAAGATTTTCGTATGCCTTGGAGCAAGACTAAATGAACGTCTTTCTTGCTTAAGGAAGCTAAGATTTTGAACTTACAGCGTTATGTTGGAGGCAGTTTTTTAGCAGATCCTTCGCCAGGTCATATTTTCCCTGAGCGATGTATACATCAGCCAAGAGGAGCCAGCACTGCTCCAAGTAATCAGCGTCTTCAAAGTTCCATGGCTGCGAAACAATTTTCTTTAAGTATATCTTCGACTTTGGTATTTGTTTCTCAAGTAGATACGCTTTC